GACCACTCCCCAGCTGGAGCACTGGGCGGGTAGAGCGGGAGTGCTGGCGTGGACCTTGAGGGACAGATTAAAAGGTCGGACAGGCCGGATGTGGCTCGTGGGTCATAGTTTGTCCACCCCTGCTCTACATAGCCATCTGATAGTTGCACTGGAAATATCTGACTGTTGGGGAGAAAGTTACTGTTGGTACAGAGGGCAATCCTTTGATCTATCCATGGCACCAGAGATGTTCAAAGTGCTTAGCTGTGGTAATTACTTGTCTTACTCTACTTTGGCTCATTCAAGCATGATTCAGCCAGGCACATGCATGCATACTTCTAGGTTGACATCCTCTGTTGCAGACTCTTGGTCTGCAAATAAACAAATAGTATGCTTGTTTTATACTGGAGGATATCCTATGAGGAGGAGCAGTTCTGGATCCAACTCTGGCAGAAGCAAGATCTGAAAAGCCATGTCTGTCTTAAAGAAACCCTGTCAGGGAACAGTGTTTTTCCTCAGATTGGTGTCTTTGTTCACATGACTATAAATAGTCACCTACACATGAGGCCTCTATCACACTGGGTGTCCTAAATCACACCCTAAAAATGGACACTTTAGACACTCTCTCCACCAATTCTTCATATCCTAAAACTGCTCAGATGGTGGGTGCCCAGGGACAATGTAATGAAAGTTTCCTTCAGCCCACTGGCTTCCTTAGCAGTTATCACCACAGATACTTCCAAACTGGGCTAGGAGCCCATTTACACAAACAAGAAGTCCATGGTCACATAAATGCGCCAGAATGCAGAGGTATTTGTTTGGGTCCTTGTCATAAAAATAAAGGGAAGGGTAACCACCTATCTGTATACAGTGCTATAAAATCCCTCCTGGCCAGAGGCAAAACCCTTTCACCCGTAAAGGGTTAAGAAGCTAAGATAACTTCGCTGACACCTAAATTACCAATGAGGAGACAAGATACTTTCAAATCTGGAGGGGGGGGGGGGAACGAAGGATCTATGTGATGCTTTTGCTGGGAACAGATCAGGAATGCAGACTTATAACTCCTGTTAAGTTAGTAAGTAAGCTAGCTAGAAATGCGTTAGATTTCCTTTTGTTTAATGGATGGTAAAATGAACTGTGCCGGGTGGAATGTATATTCCTGTTTTTGTGTCTTTTTGTAACTTAAGGTTTTGCCTAGAGGGATTCTGTTTTGAATCTGATTACCCTGTAGGGTTTTTACCATCCTGATTTTACAGAGGTGATTCTTTTACCTTTTTTTTAATTAAAATTCTTTTAAGAACCTGATTGTTCTTAAGATCCAAGGGTTTGGGTCTGTGTTCACCTGTACAAATTGGTGAGGATTTTTATCAAGCCTCCCCCAGGAAAGGGGGTGTAGGGCTTGGGGGGATATTTTGGGGGAAGACGTCTCCAAGTGGGCTCTTTCCCTGTTCTTTGTTTAACACGCTTGGTGGTGGCAGCATACAGTTCAAGGACAAGGCAAAGTTTGTACCTTGGGGAAGTTTTTAACCTAAGGGGGTAAGAATAAGCTTAGGGGGTCTTTCATGCAGGTCCCCACATCTGTACCCTAGAGTTCAGAGTGGGGAAGGAACCTTGACAGCCCTAAAGTCACTTCTGCCATCTCTTCAAGGTCCAATTGTTCAGATGCTGACAGAAGCACAAGGGCAGTGAACGTTCAGAACAAGCACGAGAGAAGTCTTTCCCAAATACTCTGCAAAGAAGCCCTGATTTTTTCCCACTGGTATCTTGACCATCACATGCACCTAGTGGTTGGATTGCACTTGACAGAAAAGATTCAAAGCAAGCATGAGTGGTGTGTGAAATAATCAGAGATTGTTTCAGGTAGGGATTGTCAAGCAGAGCCCTCTGCTTCCATAGCAAATTCAAAGTTATACTTTCTTCTGTTCAGGGAAAATATTGCCGGTGAATACCTTCCTCTGGTACTTCCTCCTCTAATGCCCCTACTAACTCATCTCACTCCTGTGGTTGTTCAAAAGTTATGTTGACACAGAACAAGTGTCTCCATGACTTCAGGATGGCTAAGGCACCACTGACAGACCAACCTTGTAGAGCAGTCACGGGAACTGTGCTGGTAATTGTTAATGCCTTTATTTGTATTGTGCTAATGCCTAGAGCAGGGGTGGGGAACCTGTGGCCCGCGGGCCGGATCTGGCCCCTTGTTCATTTTCATCTGGCCTGTGGGCCACAGGTTCCCCTCACCTAGCGGGGTGACACGGAGGCTCAGGGCAGCCGGCACTCGCAGTTCCAGCTCCGCAGGTGGGCACTGATGCTCCAGCCCGTGGGGTTGGGGGCACTGAGACTTTTGGCCTCTTCTCTGTGGGGCTGGAACCGTGAGCGCCAGCTTTCCCCACCACCGGGGGGGGGAGAGCCCTGAGTCTCGGTGTCCCCCTACAGGGCTGGAGCCATGAGCGCCAGCTCGCCCCACAGTGGGTGGGGGGGAGAAGCTTCAAGCCTCTACTTCCACCTCCCTCCTATTCTTCCCCCCCCCCCCGCCGGGTAAGTAAGTTGAACATGTGTGACCCACCATCTTTATTTTATTTTTTATTATTTTATTTATTTTTGTTGGGTCAATGGCCCTGATACAAAAACGATTCCCCACTCTTGGCCTAGAGGCAAGGACTCCATTGCTAAGCACTGTACAAACAAAGATAATCCATGCCCCAATGAGCTTACATTTAATCGACTTCCTCTGTTTTAGGATCTCCTATACTCCAGAGGTATGATCAAATTCTCCATCCCAATTTGGAGTTTCCAGACTTGATAGCATGTATCATAGGAAGCCGGCTTCCACAGAGCTAGCTTACTCTTCAATTTCAAGCAGTCTTGCAACAATCTAGGAATTTCCCCTAAAATAAAGTTACACTAACACATGAAAGAAATTTTCAACATGGACAAGTCACTAATTCAGCTGCAGTACCCCTATCATCCTTCAAAATCAATCTGGCTGCCATATCAGGTTCTCATGCTCCAGCACATGGAGTTAGCATTCTTTCATCCCATCACTTTGATGCCTGAAAAGTCTCAAACGCTTTCCTATTGCAGAAGAACCTGTCATCCCTCTTTTTGGAACTTTTAAACTCAGTGCTAACAAAACTGATGGAACCACTAGGAAAATGCTCTTTCCTGCCTGTCATCCAAGGCAGCATTCTTAATAGCCATCACTTCTGTGAGAAGGTTTGGTGAACTTCAAGCCCTGATAATTGACCCACCCTATAATTCTGGTGTGAAAGGACAAAGTGTTAAACCATACCCAAAGTTTATTCTTGAAGTGGTTACAGATTTCTCTTCTACTGAGATATCCAGTAGAAAGTGTTACCCACTGGGCCTTATGACAACGTGCATAATATTCACCATGATGACCAGCAACGTGAGTACAGGGAATATTCATCTGTCCACGTCTGGCTGATCTACTTATCAGGTATTTCAACTATAGAGCATACAAACAATTATGGAGTTCACTGTGAGGATACTCAGTGGCATGCTGCTTAATTGTTGACCACCCAATGCCTACACATACCATAATTCACCTGGGAATAGTACTTGACCCCAAAGAAGGAATCTGCCAACACTTCAGATTACAGAAACTCCATTTCACCATAGATAAAAATCAGACTATAGAAGAAAGCCAAAACTGGGGCCACTTCCCCTTTGTGGGAATGAAGGTGCTGCTTATAATTTCCTGGGCCTTTTCGAAAATGTGGTGGCTATAATAGTGTCTTTTGTTCACACAGTAGCCCAAGAAACATTCCTTCATCGGGAACCTGGTTCAAATATCTTCAAATCAGATACCTTTCTTTCAATGGTAGATTTCCCAACCTTTTGAAAGGATGTAATAACAGATATCACGGCAGGAGTGCAATTGGGCAGATAGTTGCTGACAAAGGAAGTGGGGCATTCACATGCAGTTCAGACCTTTAGCAGGATGTCTCCTATGATAGGCACCATCTTGGGGGGATGGGAATATCGCTAGGAATCTCTTAACATAGGGCTGGTGGTCAAGAAAAGAAAGTTCAAACTATACATCTTCTGCAGCTGAGGAGACTGGCTGTGGTTGCAGCAATGCTAGTCAGTGTTGGGGGATCCACAAGGATGAAATTAGATAAACATGAGAACAAAGGTTCACAGGGCAATAATAGTTTTCCAGAGGCCAGAAATGATTAAGTCCCTTGTCATGTGGCACAAACCCTTAATAGACATAGCTTAGTTTATGCTTTCCCCAAATTTTAGAATTTCACTGTCACAAAGCTCATAGTTGAAAATATGCAACTACATTGTAGACTTGGGGGAGATGGGTATTTTTGGCAGCTGAATAGGGTAATTAAATATTTTGGTCCCCAGAAAGGTAGGGCAGGATGGGCGTGTGTAGGGGCAGGGTGGGTGGGTACTGGAGCTTCTGGTATTAAGAAAGGTGTATATTTCCCTGCCATTTTGGGCAGCAGTGGCTCTTTGGAAGTGGAGTGCTTTGAATGCCCCACTTCCTTTGTCAGCTACTAGCTGCCCAGTTGCACTTGTGCCCTGATATCTGTTACTACATCCAGCAGTAATGGAGGAACTCATGAACTTAATTTTGCTAAAATGATCGCAAGTGAAATGGTTAATATTGATATTTTAAATTGTGTTCCAGAGTTCTCACTCCATTGAGATACTATTTCAGGTTTGCATGCTCAAGTAGATTTCCCTTTATAAATTTATACTCCAATCATGTTGGAAGGATTTCTTTGATCTATATGGGCTTAACTTTTTTAAATGAAAGGTTAGATTGACATACTGTTTTATGACAACTTAATTATTCTTTTCTCTGGGACCATTACGTAAAGCATAGTTTGAAAAATCATGTTGATATGCTGTTTTAAAATTAAATATTTCTGGAGCAGCAAACTGAGAGAATCTGAAAGGGGAGTAGGAGAACCCATATTGGACAAAATGGCTTGTTTTTATTCAAAACTTGTTTCTTGCTTCTCCCCCCCATTTCCCCCCTCCAGGTTTTTGATAACTATGCTGTAACAGTGATGATTGGTGGGGAGCCATATACCCTAGGATTGTTTGATACTGCAGGTGAGAATGTTAACTTTTCTGTATTTATACTAACTCGTAACATTTGGTACATTTTAGGTATTAGTTATGCACAATCAGTTCCTTGAAGAAAAAAACTATACTAGTATGCAACAGTCTATCTTGCCAGCCATCATGGCAGACTTATCAGTTAATAACAATTTTTTAAAGGTGACTTGATAGGGGTTTGTGTGTGTATATGTGTGTGTATACACACACTTTTTTTTAAAATTGAGCTTTTTCCTTCTTTATCTTATGCAAACTAAAGAGCCTGATGGGCTTTTATACTCTCTTTTTTTGCCTTTTTTAAATCTTAAAACACCCCAGAGATGTCAATTCATTCTTCTCTGGTTTTTCTGGAGGATCTCTGGTGGGGCTTGCATAAACTAGGATAAATGGTGTATCTTTAAAGTTTTTAATTTAATATATTTTTAAAGTCCTATCTACATTAGAGTTCTAAAATGTTCACTGTCACCTTTAAAAAACAAAACTCATCTTGGTCTAGGTAAACCCTGAGATGACTGGAAGATATTTGAACAAAAACCTTTATTAGACAGCTGGGAGTGTTGAATCTTGAACTGTAGATTCTTTTCAAAATGCTAGCCATTGAAGTTAAATAAGAGTTGTTAAAAGTTCTTAAAAATCCTTACTAAAATTCCTTCCTATTTGTTGCATAACTTTCATTCTCAAGTCCATGTGGTACAGTAATTTTACTAATTTTTTCAGTAGCCTGTCTTCTGGCCTAGATAAAACCTGAATTTGTAAAGTCAAAAATTTGCTGCTGTTTAGGCATCAACCTATCATGCTGGCTTTATCTGTCATGAAGCAAAATAGGCAGGATAACATGCCCAATGTTTGAATTATTATTCATTAAAGGTGACCTTCAAATAAATAAATTTGGGTGTCGGTCAGTTTTGGCTGTTTTTTTGATGGAGGATAAAGGCTAGAAAGCTTTTATATTTTAAAATGTTTTGTTTTTTGTTTTAGCCTCACTTTCTAGTGTAAAGTCTACACTGAAATGCTCTAGGGTGACTGGACAATCAGTGCTATTATATACAAGAGTGACTAAAAATTCCATCCCCTTCTTGTTCAACTTTCAAACTGTTTAAAACTTTTGTTAGCCCCTATTCCAATGCCTAAAGAATTCTTGATCTGGAAAAAGGGGTCAACATTGAGGTGGCAAAATTTGCAGATGATACAAAATTACTCAAGATAAGTCCAAATCAGACAGTGAAGAGTTACAAAGTGATCTCACTAAACTGGGTGACTGGTTAACAAAATGGAAGGTGAAATACATGTGGAGGCCAAAAGTGTTAACTGGGTTCAAAAAAGAATAGGTCCATCAATGGCTATTAGCCAAGATGGTTAAGGATGCAAACCCATGCTCTGAGTGTCCCAAGCCTCTGATTGTCAGAAGCTGGGAGTGGACAGCAGGCGATGGATCACTCAATGGCCTGTTTTGTTCTGAAGCGCCTGGCATTGGACACTGTTGGAAGACAGGATACTGAGCTAGATGGGTCATTAGTCTGACCCAGTAGCGGCATTTTTATGTCACTATGAGGTGAATGAGTGTGAAGATACTTGATGCTATCCAAGACCGTGCTTGTCCCAAAGAGATTGCTCATTGTCTGTCTTTTAGATAGACTAAATAGGAACAAAACACTCAGAACCAGGGGAAAGCTGCCATGTAACAAAGCCAAACTCACTCTTTCCAGTTCTGTTCTTCGTGAACCTACAGTTTCAGCACAGTATGTAGTAGATTTGTTGATTGATCCTTAACTATGTAGCACAAACAGCATAGATGGGAGCAATGAGAAGTAGTTCCAAAAATATACAATGATTCAGATTCAAATAGTGGGGACATTAATGACCTTTTCAGTTAAGTTTCTGTATTACTAGAAACACTGAAAGGAAATGAGGACTTCTCTTATTTAGATCAGTTTATGGGAAAAGTTTGTTGATGCCATTAATGCTATAAATATTTTACAATTGTAGAGCAAGTCTTTGACTGCATGTTAATGAGAGAGACTGGAGCTGTTTACCAGCTCAACTCTAAGCTAGGTCAATTGTACAGAAAATAGTTAACATCAAACAGCAGTCGTTATTTGTCCATGTTACAAAACCCAGTATAACTGATGTCCTTGTTAAATATCAGTAATTCAATATTGAATGGGCCTTGGAGACCACTTTTTTTTGCCACTAGAGGAAGTTCCGTGTTAGAACTGATTTGCTGAGGATGCATTCGTTGCTGCTTGTCTGTGCTGCAGCTATCTAGAGATAAACAGGTGACTTTGCTCTCTCAATCTGTGAATCCAGTACCTTTCCACACTTGACTGTTTCTTAAAATCCTTCTTTAAATCTGCACAACGCTTTCAAAAGACTAGCCTAGGAGCTTAAATTTGTAACTTTGCTAGACACTAAAAGTAATAATTTTAATAAAGACTCTGGATTTATGGTTTATTACAACAATCTGTAACCCATTAAACCTCTCTTTTTGTCCTATGACTAAAGGGGTGTTAACGGGCCACCTCACCTTAAATGTTTCCTTAGTTTAGCGTAGGTAGTCACAAGGTTGAAGAGAGAGAATATATTCTATTTAGCTGTGATACTCTTAGCACCTTTCCCAGTCCTGAGGAAGAGCTCTCTGTAGCTTGGAAACCTGTGTCTCTCACCAACAGAAGTTGGTCCAATAAAAAAATCTTCTCTCACCCACCTTGTCTTTCTAAAAAGAAAAGGCAGAGATGTTGATCACTTAAGATTAAGTACCAAACTATTGAGTTAGGCAAAATCTAACTGTGCCCTGCAAAGAGGGAGGAACCATCTCATAGCCTTGAAGAAGTGAACCTTGTGGCATCCCTTTAGATCACATCATCATCCAGGCCCTTCTTGGGCCTTCTTAAGGCATTTAAGGTGGTGCTATCATATGATTTTGATCCTTCATAATCCTAACTACTCCCCTTTAAATCTGTAGTTTCTGTAACAACACTATTATCAAATAGTCTCCATCTCTGCTTCACTTTTATCTTTAATTGATAAGGCCTTTATTCTGTGATCTGCATCTGATATTAAAACAACATTTTCTCACCACTCTGATTTCATTTTTTGTATCATTTCTGTAACTTCATTTTTTGCTTAGGCTTTTTACATGGGAACAATGTGCGTTAGTGGCACAAGACTTTTTAATGAACAAAGATGACTCCCAGCATAGCATGCTGTTATCAAATTTAAGCAACTTTGTATGTGTACTCTGCTGTAGCTAGAATTTGCAGAACTGTACAACCAAGAGTAAAGAATTCTAGAGTTTGAAATACTTATGATTTGAAACTTAGTTATATATGGGGATTCTCTGATTCTTTTTTGTAAATGTTGTGCTTGCATCACTCCAAGGGCATAGTTAAGGTAGTTTTGATGGGGTATTTCCTTTTGAGTGTGGTGGTGATGTGCTGTGTTGAACTGGATGTGAAGACCATGCTTTCTATAAATTGTTGATTTTGCTTGCCTTGTAACATATTTGACATAACTAGATTTCTGCCCCGTTATGTGGGAGTGGCCAGTGGTATTCTCTTATGGTTAAGGTTAAGCAAAATGTCTTTTTATTGGAATACAAATTGGATATGCAACTCTTCACCAATACATCCTATAAACATTTGTAATTTGACTAAAGGAATCCTTCTCTAGGAGAGACTTCTGAAGGCTCCCCTTTTAATGCTGCTGTTTTTCTTTTTTTCTAGGACAGGAAGATTATGACAGATTGCGACCCCTCAGCTATCCACAGACAGATGTGTTTCTGGTTTGTTTTTCAGTGGTCTCTCCTTCTTCATTTGAAAATGTGAAAGAAAAGGTTTGTCATATCTTTCTACCCAAAACTGGAGCTGTAGCAATGCTTTAGGCAATGTCATTTGAAATTGCCTCAGGAACTTGAATAGTAACAATACGTTCTTTGTCCCCTTTAGTGGGTACCTGAAATTACTCACCATTGTCCAAAAACCCCTTTCCTGCTTGTTGGGACCCAAATTGATCTCAGAGATGACCCCTCAACAATTGAGAAACTTGCTAAGAACAAGCAGAAGCCCATAACTCCAGAGACTGCTGAAAAACTGGCCCGGGACCTGAAGGCTGTCAAATATGTGGAGTGTTCTGCACTTACACAGGTGAGAATCGTCCACTAAACATCTCTCACAGTTGTGTTCACTACTCGTTTTTTCCCCTCCTTCACAGCTGTGGAGTACAGCTAAATAGGGCATGTTAAAAGGTGAGAGTGCTCTTTCTGCTGGTGTGGATGCAAAATGGCTGAGCAGAAGGAAGTTTCTGAGGAATGAGGGATTAGAAGTGACACGAAGAAAATCCTAGCATGGAGAGTAAGCAGTCCAACTAGAGGGGGATGGAGATTTTGTGGTTAGGAGAGGGATCTCATGCCGGGGTTTGTTCTGTGTTGGAGGAACTGCAGTGTAGTGTTAATTATTTAAAGAGCACATTTAAATAGGAAGCTGTGATCTGGATTGTTTGTGGGTTAGGACACAAGATTAAGTTTATCACTGGGGAAAGCAGAGACTTTTTGCCAAGGTCAGTTTTCTTCCCTTTAAAGAAGGTTAAATTAACACACGCCCCCCCCGCTGCGGCTCTCCCTCCCCCTCCCCGCCACGCTAATAACCTTAGAGCAGTCTTGAAAGTCTTTCCCTTCCTGTGCAGCCTATGGTGAGCTGTTTGCCTGCCTCCCACCAGAAGTCTAATGTGTCACCAACTAACAATGAAATGGCAACTCTAAGACATTACCCCCATCCACAGAAATGGAGATAAACAGTGGCAGCAGTTTTTTTTATTTAAAAAAAAACACAAAAACTCCAACATGTTTAACTTTAAAGCCAGTGGTGATTTAAGGCCAATGAAATTGGAAATCCTGTGGAGGTCCTAGAGAGTAGGTCAGCTTCTTTAATTACATAGACCCTAGTAATTTAAAATCTTGGCACGCTTGCTCTTAATCACATAATTATGTTAAAATATTACTAATCTGACTTGAATCCACAGAAAGCTGAAAATTGAGTTGGCGTCTTATGTCCCTGCCTTACATGCGTGGGGAAAGATATGAGATACAAAATGTCATGCTTTTCTCCGTTCCATGCATTGTCTTGGCCCAGTATCTGGAGTATGAAGCCTTACCTCAGTTTCCTGTATTCTGTGAATCTTGCCTTAACCCCAAATTTGTTGTTCACAGATTTCAAGGCCAGAAGAGAACATTATGATCATCTGATCTGACCTCCTGTATAATGCAAGTCATAAACACCCCCAAAATAATTCCTAGAGCAGATCTTTGAGGAAAACAACCAACCTTTATTTAAAAATTCAGTGATGGAGAATCCACCTTGACCATCTGTAAATTGTTCCAATGTTTTTAATTACCCCCATTGGAAAAAATTATGCTGTAATTGTCTAGCTTCAACTTCCAGCCTTTGGATCATGTTATACCTTTTTCTGCTAGATTGAAGAGCCCATTATTAAACATTTGTTCCCTGTGTAGGTGCTTACAGACTGTAAGCAAGGCACCCCTTAACCTTCTCTTTGTTTAAGCTAAGTAGATAGACTCGGAGCTCAGTCACTGTCAGGTATGTTTTCTAATCCTTTAATCATTTTCGTGGCACTTGTCTGAACTCTCTCCAATTTATCAACATCCTCATTGAATTGTAGGTACCAAAACTGGGCACTGTATTCCAGCAGTGGCTTCTCCAGTGTCAAATACAGAGGTAAAATAATCTCTGTGCTCCTCCTCAAGATTCCCCTTTTATGCATCCCAGGGTCACTTTGGCTCTTGGCCACAGTGTCACATTGGCAGTTCCATGTTCAGCTGATCATTCACCACACCCCCCAGAGTCACTGTTTCCCAGAAAGATTTAAATCAAGGTTTTCTGCTTGCTGATTTTTAAATTGATTTAAATCTGTGATTTAAATCATTCCACCCTGTTTACAACTGTATGCATGCTGCTAACCAGGTTCTGGTGCATTCTTGCAGAACAGTGTGTCCAGGGATTATTTTCTTACCCATGGCAGTGAAATTAGAGGCAACTGCCCCAGTAATCCATGGCATGGACTTCAATTCTTTTACTTACCTTTTGCACGCTTTGAGAAAATGCAAGATAAGATCATTGTTTTAAATTACATGCAGCACTGACAGTTGGATAAGAACTCATTCAGTATCAGAAATTCAACATCCATCAGTTGTTACTTCCAGATATTGAAATAGAAACTACATACTCAAAATTTTGCAGGAGGAGAAATTTCCATATTTCCTGGGGCTCTGTTTCTTGCTTTCCATATATTCTAGAAATGGTAGTTCAATTTGTAAGAAACTCTCACGTTTTGTCTCAGATCATCTGGAAGCTTTTTTCCTCAGGGTCTCCATCCTCTTCCAAAATTCTACTAATGCACATCTTGATGATGTCTGAAGATGAAAGCAAGCAGGTCTTTACTTAGGAGTCCCAAATGCATGCACATTGGATCCATTGGTAATTTTACTGCTATCCAATATGAGGTTTAAAATTCGTGACCAGTATAAAGCAGTGTTGGCTAATGAATAAAGCACTGGCCTGGAAGAGCTGAGTTCTGTTCCTGGCTCTGTTAGTGGCCTGCTGGGTGATGGTGGGCAAGTCATTTTTTCCCCCATCATTAAAATAAGGATAATGTGATTGACCTCTTGTAAATATTCATGGATGAGAAGTGCTATATAAGAGCGAGATGGTGGTATTGTGTTGTGACATTCCCATCAATGGGTAAAGATGCCTTTCATGCCTCACCTCTTGTGTCCATAGATTGCTGCTGTTCTACTGTCTACTCCTTTAATATTAAATAGAGTAGTTACTGGTTTTTCCCAGGGCTTTGGGAAAAGGGGATGGATAAATAGCTCTTAAATGTAACTAATCCCCTGAGTACTAATACCTTGTTCACCAAAATTACTGTTGGTGGTTAGCTGGAGTAAACAAACTGTTTACTTGTGGTCTTTTGTATGACCCAAATATACTTTTGTTGTGCATCTCTAAACTTGCCCAGTAATTCTTAATGGAAAAAATTGTAGGTCCACCAATTTTTTCTTCTCTTCTCTATCTTTTTAATTCCCTGTTCTTTTTAATTTGCCCAGCCCCATCTCTTCCCTATTCTTTTTAATTTGCTACTGTATCTTTATTTTTTTGTTCTATTTTTTTCTTTAACTAAATCAGCCCCAGCCACTGAACAAAAATTTACATACCGGAAGCCTACAGAGGGAAGCTAAAGTTCCTAGTTAGCTTCCACCTGCTGATCTATTGTATGTGAGCTAAATGTAAAAGGAACCTGACTTTCCCTGGGTAGGATTAGTCTTTCCTTCCTTCTAAGGAAACTCATCAAATCTAGCATCAGGGAAATGGACTAGAATTGTATAGTCCTTGTTGGTTTCCCTTTTCAATGGATTCTATATGTAAAGTGCTTCTCCACTGCTGGCAGTGTCATGGCTAGTGACAGACAGCTGATTGGGAAACCTGGTGGAGTTGCTTCCATGTGGCAGACAGAGACAATGCTTGATGGATGGGATTTAGTCTTTTGAGGGGAAAAATAAATTTCAAGCTCCAGTGTTTCCATCAAAGTAATAGTGAATCATAGGCAGATAAGTTCTGGGACTTTGATGTGAAGATAAATGTGCACCTATCTGGTACACACCTTGTGTTGGCTGGATGAGTCTGTTGTACAGCATTGGAGATTCAGTGACAGTTTCACATAGGAGGCCCAGGGTTAATTTATGAGTGTCTCTCCTGATTTGAGAGGAAGGGTAATCTTGTGGTTAAGACTGTTCCTAGCTCTGCTAATAGACTTCCTTTGGTAAATCAGCACCTCAATCCATCTGTAAAAAGTGTGTAATACTTCGCTACGTCATAAGAGGGTTGTGAGCTGCTTGGATACTAGTTACATGTTGCTGAAAAAACCTATCATTTTTTTCTTTAAAATGTGCCTTAAAAAGTAGGTGTTCGTGACTATGAAGAGGCTACTTAACCTGCTTTTGGTCTGTTGTCTCCTCAGTATATCACTTTTACAGCCTAATCTTTAAATTGTTCTAGATTCATTGAGCACTGAAAGGCTCTATTTACCCTAGACCATGGAGAGGTTTGAAAAATGTTGTGTTTTTTTTGTTTTTTTAAACTGGTTGTCTTCCTCTTTCCCTGCTAAGTCAGACTTCAGCATTCAGCATGAACTGACCATTCTGACACATCCATATTCAGTCTCAGTCATGTTTTGAAGAAGGATTTCAAGCAAGGCTCTTAATGGACTACCTTTTTTCTCCATGTCAAAGACCCCCTTGATTTGAAATCTGTTTTCAAAGTAGTTGCGTATCTGCCCTGGTGACGTTAGTCACTTTCCTTTTAATTTTTTTTCTCTCTCCTCTGGTTGGTGCTTTTGAAAGATCCACAGAAACAAAAGGAGAAACTCGTCCTTTCTATAAGAAATGAAAACGATTTTACACAAAATTTGACATATGTATGAAGCATAGAGGAGAAACTCTTTTTTTCCAGTTATCTTTCAGTTGTAACAATCTTAGGTGTTACCTGTAACAATAATAGGCTTAAACATTTTCAGCTAGAGGTGATTTTTTCCCCCAAAAGGCGACTGTCTTCTTTAATGGATTCTAAGGTCTTTCTCTGCTAAATTGAAGAGCCCATTATTACATATTTGTTCCTCAGGTAGGTACTTACAGACAATCAAGTCACCCCTTAACCTTCTCTTTGTTAAGCTAACTAGATTGACCTCCTTGAGTCTATCATAGTAAAGCATATTTTCTAACCCTTTATTCATTTTTGTGACTCTTCTCTGCACCTTCTTTATCAACATCTTTCTTGGACTGTGGGCACCAGAACTGGACAAAATATTCTACCAGTAGTCGCACCATTGCCAAATAAAATAAAACAGATAAAGTAACCTCTCTACTCCTACTCAAGATACCCCTGTTCATGCATCCCAGGGTTGTATTAGCTCTCTTGGACACAGTCACACTGGGAGCTCATGGTGGATAATCAGCCCAACAAGACCCCCACATTTTTTTCAGAGTCACTGCTGCTCAAGATAGTCTCCTGTCCTGTGAGTATGGCCTATAGTCTTTGTTTCTAGATTGGGGCGGGCAAACTTTTTGGCCTCAGGGCCACATCGGGTTTCCAAAATTGTATGGAGGGCTGGTTAGGAGAGGCTGTGTCTCCCCAAACAGCCAGGTGTGGCCCTGCCCCCGCCTCCTATCAAACCCGGCTTCTCACCCCCTGATGGCTCCCCTGGGACTCTGCCCCATCCACCCCCTGTTCCCTGCCCTCTGACTCCCCACCCCCTTCCACCTTCCCCAACTCCCCTGCCCCTCTATCCAACCCCCTCTGCCCCCTTACCGCGCTGCCTGGAGCACCGGGTCAGGCAGAGGCTCTACAACTGCGCTGCCTGGCTGCCCAGAGCGTTGTGCCTGTGGCGTGGTGCTCTGAGGCTGTGGGGGAGGGGGAACAGCAGGGGAGAGGCCGGGGACTAGCCTCCCAGGCCAGGAGCTCAGGGGCCTGGCAGGAGGGTCCCATGGGCCGGATGTGGCCCGTAGTTTGCCCACCTCTGTTCTAGATGCATACACTTGTAATTTGCTTTGCCCATTTTATGAAGTGATCCATATCACTCTGAGTCAGGGACCAGTCCTCTTCGTTATTTACTGCTTCACCAGTTTGTGTCCTCTGCAAGCTCTAAAGCACAACTAGATATATTCCCATATACACACATCTAAAAACCTACACTAAAGCTTTTCCTAAAACCCAGTATTCAAAGCTGAGTGCTTTTCCCAGTCAAATCAGTGGGGGAGAAATGCTTTTCAGCTTGGGTGACTGAACTTCCTCCCTATGCACAGATAGTAGTCTCTGAGGAATGAGTTTTACCTTTTGTTTTCCTTTGTTTCTTACCCTGTAAACCTCTTTCTCTGAATTTCTGCAAGTCACACTCATGACAGTAAAGTTAGCAAGTCCAGTTAGTATAAACTGAGCAAGGTTTCTCTTCTGGTGCCCACGTGTAACTTCTTAGAATTGTATGGCAGTGAGAATATATTGTAGAATTCTTGTTTCTGTAGAGCTAATGAGCGGTTCTCAAACGGTGGTTCAGTACCCCATTTTAATGGGGCCAGCATTAGATTTGCTGGGGCCCAGGGCTGAAGCCCAAGGAGGCCCCCTCCTCCCAGGGTGGTGGGGCTCTCCCCTTGCCCCTCCCTCCCCATGGTCATGTAGTAATTTCATTGTCAGAAGGGGGTCGCGGTGTAATGAAGTTTGAGAACTGCTGAGCTCAAATGCATGCTTTGTGCTCATGTGTAACCCTTGCAGACTTCTTAAAGATTTTGACTGCTTGCTTGATGTTGGATTCCATAGTGTCAAAGAAGCATTCCAATTCTAACATCATTTTTCTGTCTCCCTGTAATTTGAGTGGTTATAATACTTGCTTTAGTAACAACATAGTTGACTAACTGGAATATACCATTTTTATAGTTGGCTGTCTAAATGTCAAAATAATAGCACTGATAAGGCATTGCCTTATGTTAAATGACTGAGCCCTTACATTGGAAGAGTGGTTTACCAGGCACAAGTCCTGCTTCCATCCCAGCATGAACATGCCCAGCAGTCTGTGTTGGAACTCTTCAGTTATTCAGGGGCTGAATTCACATAGCAATCCAGTAATTTCAAGGTACCACTTAAAACTAACTGCTTCTGCAGTAAGTGGGGAAATCAGCACAAGTTTGAAACTCCACATACCTAAAATGCTAACGTACCTAATATGGATAGGAAAGATATGTACCTGACCTTCCATCACAGCCACATGGGACAAGCTACTTTTGTTTGTATGTAAAACTCATTGGGAATGTTCAGTCTAATAGTTCAGATAGGTGGCAGCAATGATTCTGTTAAGTCTTTGAAACCTGTTAAGACACCAGTATTCTCACTAACCTCTGCTATGTTTGTCCTTTTGTCCTTATGGGTGTACGTGTTTCATCCAATTGTTGGCTTTCTGTACACTTCTGTCTTGATTGATCTCCTGATCATCTAAATGGTGAATTATTTTCTCCAGGATCTACTTTGTTACAACAAAGTAAATCTGCTTGCTGCTTCTGTGAATTCAGCCCAACTTATCCTGAATGCTCTTTATCTGCTTGTTTTTCTCTAATCCTCTAACCTGGCTGCTGTTTTTTTCTCCTCCCCTCTGTCTTGTAGAGAGGTCTGAAGAATGTGTTTGATGAGGCTATCCTAGCTGCCCTCGAGCCTCCGGAAACTCAGCCCAAAAGGAAGTGCTGTATATTCTAAACTGTTTTCTCCTTCCCCTCTTGCTGCTGCTTCTTCTGTCCCACTACTGTAGAAACTTGATTAAAAATGAATAAAACCATCCTGACTGAAAGCTTCCGTGTCTCTGCTTAACATCTTAGAGCAACCTCTGTATTAGCTTTTGGACTGAAAACAACATATACAGTTCCTTAGTAAAACATTTGTGACTGTGGAACATGAACTGGACTCCTTTAACTCTTTGCTGCGTGGGTTGCCAGATGTTGATAACTTTACAATTTAGGTTACTGGGGAAAAGGCCTGGGTGTGTCATTTAAAAACTGAACAAAAAAAAAACCCTCATCAAGAAGGAATAAAGACATGTTTAATCTTCCTGAGCTCCAACTGGAAAAAAATGCATACTTCATTTTCTACCTGAGTCTATTGTTAACTGTATTTGCATGATAAACATACATGAAAGTGACCTGCAAGTAATGGTGTAATGTGAAGGGTTTTCTGGTTCTCCTTTGTGCAGTGAGACTTTCTGTTGCTATTGCTTTGGCTGTCTGTGCTGTAGTGGAGTATTTGTCAGTCCTCGGGGGAAGGAAATATCAATGTATCTGCTACTGCTTTACAAAGATGTTAAATTCTTGCTTTCACTAACACCAGTAGTCCTCTTCATTTTAATAATTGATTCTTAAAGCTTGTTAATGTAACATGTAAAGTTTGCCTTTTAATTTCATGCTTCTGATTTTTGTCTTAAGGGGAAAAACTTCAATTGTAGTTACCTTAAATTTTGGAATTAAAAATTGCAGTTTGTATAAATGACTGATGAAGCTTTTTTTCTGTTTGCATTCACTGGCTTCAATTTAACATTTATACAATGTTATAGTACCCATTTTGTAATTCTCCCATTTGAATTCTGTTATGGATACCATGCACAGCTTCTGAAATCTACCTGGCTGCTGCTAAACATTTGGTGTGGGGAACAGAAGCTTGATTAAAATATACCAGACTGCAATCCATCTTTGCATGCTTGCCTCCTGTATAACACAGGTGTCACTGCAACGTGTTCTGGAATCATTACTATTCTGTGTTCCAGATCCAGCTCTTTCATCTGAATGCAGTACTTTCTGCTTTGTCATTAGTGTGAAATTTGTTACCAGCAAACTAATCGTAAAACCCCCATTGATTGAGGCAATTACTTCTGTATTTGTTTTGCTTCTTATGAAATACACTGGTCTGCAGAAAATGGTTTCAAATGACTGCTGTACTATTCTGAATATCAAATACTCTTCTAAAGAACTCAGTACAGCAACACAATTTGGACAAAGCCAAGTTAAGGAAAATGACTTTCTGGAAATTGTAGATCTCAATATTTTATTCACCATTATTGGGGTTTAATTCTGCCTTGGTTTTATTTTTGTTTTTTATAACAACCCAGAAAATGAGACCGCCCCTTTCTCTCTTTGCCCCTTTTCAGAAAGGCCTAAAGAATGTATTTGACGAGGCGATATTGGCTGCCCTGGAGCCTCCGGAGCCGAAGAAGAGTCGCAGGTGTGTGCTGCTATGAGCGTCCCTCCACAGCCCCTCTGCAAAGCTGATGTTTGATGTCATACTAAAAGCAATGTTTAAATCAAACTAAAGATACAAATTTTAAAATTTGTTTTTGCAATAATGACAAATGCCCTGCACTCCCACACTCTCCCTGTGTGAGTTGAGAATGTTAGTGTTCATTCCCAGTGCCCTTCCCAATTCAGTTAAAGACTAGTTAATTTTGAGTAATTATGTATCAGAAAATACTGATCATTACTAGTTTTTTATTTTGTTTACTGTTTCTAATTTTTGTTTAAAATCCAGGCATGCTTGTGTTGACTTTCTCTGTAACAGACTAATTCTAGGCTGTGTTACTGAAATCTTGTCCCAAGCTGGCAAGACTCTGATTCGTTGACCTTCTGGGGCTATATTCTGTAATCAGCAGGCAGCCTGGGTATGAGCATGTTTCTGACTCAGTTTTGAGGACTGAAATTAAGATGTCCCAAGCTGGTGCTCCTTCTCTAAAAGTTGCCTTGTTACCTCTCCTCGTCACTTTCCTCTGAGCAGGTCAGAAATTCCTACCCTGTCCTTTTAAGTTATAAAACCTTTGAAATGGGAGGTGAATTGTTCCTTTCTCTGTGGATGCACCATCAACTTGTATTTAAGAAAATTAGTTTATTGGTGGTGGAGGTGAGGAATGGGTCATTTTTCCCCTCAAACTTGACATTACAGGCTTTCATCAAATGTGAAGAAATAACGGCACCTTTTTAAGCACACCCAACTTATAGTTGGTTTTTAACAAGAAAAAAACAAACCCAGAAAACCACATACTTCTCTCAATCACTGAATTGCTTGGTACGGGCAGGCTTACAAATTGCCAGTATGGTGTTGCTAGGACGCTTCGAAAGAGCCTGGGATGTATTAAGGTGAGTTGGGGAAGTGGTGCTAGTGGGTGCATATCCTACAGAACAGTTCAGCCTCCTTTTAGGAGGGGTGGAAAAATAGACCTGCTTCAGTAGGAAAGAACTGCAGGGGAGGGTTGTCTAGTGTTTGGTGTGGCACCATAGGGACCAGTTAAGGGAATCCCCTTTATCTGCATTGTGCATGTAAGTAACCCTAAAGCCTGTAAGATGGGTTCCAGTCTAATAAGGATCATGTATGAGATCTTTAGACTCCAGTGTTAATAGGGATTTTACCAAAACTATATTTTGGCTTGCAGATTCAAATTTTTTTAATACATGGGGAATCCTATGTCTTCCCAAATTCCTAATTCTTGTAGACTCATTAATGTTGAACCAATGCTTTTTCATGTCTAAGTTCTTTGTATATGCATTCTTTTCAGATGTATTAAACATGAAATATCTTCACAAGCCCGCCTAAGGGTAATTTTTCCCCCAGACTCTCATTATGGTTCTTTAAGGACTTGCAAACACAGCCAACTTTTCCCCTTTGAGCCCTGCTCTCCAGTTGTGAGTAGCTTTCATTCCATTCTTTACACCTAGTTCCAAATATTTATCCCTTCCCATTGCTCTCCTCCCCCATTAATGGTCTCATTTCTGTCAAGCTTGCTGTAATGCTCACAAAGTAATCCTTCCACATCAGAAAATTACTGCTGTAGCATCAGGGTCTGTAAAGAGATGTATACTGTTCGCTTACAACTTAGGGCTGTTGAGATTTTACCATTTAATATTTCACGTGTTCCAAAATCTTTCATAAATGAAAAGATGACATCTTCAGATTACTTTTTCTGGAGTGAGATGCAATGCTATTACAGAAACTCCATGTTGCTTTCTGCTTGTGCATAGATCTCAGGAAACCAAATATTATGATGTTCCCCACTCCAAACATACGTTTTGGTTTTGTTAGCAATTTGTGGAGATCACTGAAGTCTTGCAGTGTGGAAGCATTATTTTGTATTAATGATTAAAACACTTTCCAAAGAGCTTTGTCGAAGATTACTTTTGTTTTAAGAAGTTGAATAGAATTGTACAACAACCTAAGTAGTCAAACTTAAAACCCGTGTGGCTTCCAACTTTTGAGCTTTGCTGTCGGTGTTTCCACTCAGCACTGTTTTTGCAGAGTTCAACTTTTGATTGCGTAGGAAGGCTGTGCTTCAAGGTGAGTTTGTCAGTGCTGTTGAAATACTGGCCTTGACATCCTATAAAGGTTAGGGTCTGCAGGCTTCTGACTCCGCTTATGGCAGAGACAGACACTGGTATTTCCCATGCTGTTCCTCAGACTCCAGAGCTGACCATGCTCCTGCAGAACATGCCAGTTTCATTGTTGGATTTAGATCACAAAGCTTGCTTAGGTAAAAAGCAGGCAGTAAAGCAGCAGTACCCAAACTTTTCCTGTCGTGCTCCCCTTCCCCACTTGAATTCTGTCTGCACAACCAAAGCTTCCTCATCAGAGGAGCCTGGGCTGAAGGCAGAGCTGGGGACAGGGAAGGAGCTGGGGCTAGAGGTGGAGCTGGGCTGGGGGCAGAGTGCAGCTGTGGCTGGGCTCGGAACAGGGCTGGGTGGCACTTCCTCCCTGCCCTGTGAGTGATGGCTTGTGCCACGCCACATGCTTACTGAATGTTCCTCCGCACCCCCCTAGGGTGTGCACCTCACAGTGTGGGGACCACTGTACTAAAGTGAGTTACTGAAACAAAGCCTGAAATGGAGGAGACACATCAATTTCCATTGTTCTTCCTGAAGTAGCTGTTTTACTCTATAAAGCTGTTGCTCTGGCTCATAAGCATCTCATTTTTCACCTGTGTACATCCTCATGGAGGAGCTGTGTATGCAGCTAGTTGGCTGGTTGGTCTCATTCAAGACCAGTAATGTCTCATGTACCATCTCCCTCTCAAAAAGGGATATGCCAGTCTTCTACCTAACCCCAGCAACTTAGCTAGGAAGAAGGCCTGCAGTTCAGACTTGGCTGAGTGCCTAACTTCTCTCTGGAAGAGAATGCTGATGGTATTTGATTCATGGAGAAACTTTTGGGTTTTCAAGGGACTGTCTTGACTTAGTTCCTGGGTAGGATGAATTATCTAAATTGCAAAACTAGCTTACAAACCTTGTGCAGAGGGCCTCTGCTAGAGGAAGGGGAAAAAAAGGTTTTGCTTAAATGTAATCAGTTTTCTCTTTTGGAACCCATCTGTCCTAAAAATCTACAAGGCTACCCCCAGCAGCTGGCACCAACACCCAAAAAGTCTTTATACAAGTTGAATGTAGTGTAGTAATCTGTGGACTCTATTTGTCAGGCTCAAAGTGGTAGTAGGGGAGCTTAATAGAAGCATGTTTACTACATCATTTTGCTTCCTTTGCTTAGACTTTAAATAGGAGAACAAATGGCTAGATCCCCCAACCCCTCCCTCTTTTGACAACAAATATCCTCCTATATGAGTTGTTTGTCATTGGGTAAAGTGGCGGGAGAGTAATTTTGTGGGAGCATTTTATTAAAACACTACCAGCACTCTGTTATTCAAGACAGTAGTCTGTAGTAATGTATCTCAGTGGCCTTGAATTTGCCTGCTGGTGTCCTGGTCACAGATTGTACCTGTATCTGACTTCAGGCCACAGCATTCCACAGTTGATTCTCCTATTATCTGTCTATTCAGAAAAGAGAATGCACTCAGAGGTTGGAAAGTATGCTCACAAGAGGTGGATTAGAGCATCCCCAAGAACTTTAGTCTGCTTAACAAACATAGTTAAGAGCAGAGTCCTGGTTTCATATAAAGTAGTTGTCTGTTTCAGAGAGGCTACATGGTAAAGGTAATTTACTCTAATTTAGTAAAAAGAAAAGGAGTACTTGTGGCACCTTAGAGACTAACCAATTTATTTGAGCTAAGCTTTCGTGAGCTACAGCTCACTTCCGATGAAGTGAGCTGCAGCTCACGAAAGCTTATGCTCAAATAAATTGGTTAGTCTCTAAGGTGCCACAAGTACTCCTTTTCTTTTTGTGAATACAGACTAACACGGCTGCTACTCTGAAACCTCTAATATAGTAGTAATATCAGATGGCTAGGGGCTGGAGCTGAGGTGTGGAAAGAAATTCTATTTCCTGCCACACTTCCAGTGTTTCTTAGCAGAAAGATCTTGCCAGTGAACAGATTATATTTCAACACTATAATAAGAGACAAGGTAGGTGAGGTAACATTCTTTTATTGGACCAACTTTAGTTACTAGAAAATCTGATTTCCTTCCCCAGACCTGAAGCAGGCTCTATGTAGCTCAAAAACTTGTACCTTCTACTACCAGAAGCTGTTCCAATTAATATTGCTCCCTCACCTATCTTGTCTTTCTCATGTTCTGGGACTAGCATGGCTATACCAATGCTGCAGATGCTATAATATAGCTTTTAATCATTACTCTAGTGCTGTGAACAGTTCCCACTTCTCAAAAGTATTTTTTCTGTCTAGGTTAACTCTAAAAATCTGGTGCCAATACTAGTTCAGCTTTCCCCACTGTAGCAATATCAGATGCTCAAATGTAGATGGGCCACCGATCGTTTTTATCCATGTCAACTAGACCTGCTCTGAGCAAGGTTACATCACAGTGCGAGCCTACGTTAGCCAGGTAGCCTGTCTGCATTTCCCCTTAGTGCTAATATCAGCAGAGCTGAACTGCGTTGAGAAATGGTGGAAAAATTTTGGAAACTTCTGTGGGTGGAAAGGATCTCTAGCAGGCAATTTGGTGGTTGCAAAGGAAAACCTTTAACTTAAGTATTAGGACTAGAAGCAGAATTTTTGGTTTAATGAAAGCTCCGATTCTGCAAAAATTGATATGGCACCAGAGAAGTATCATGCTGCACATCCCTCAGCATGGTGTTCCAAAGTAGTGGGAGTTGTAATCTTTTGAACAGGAGGCCAAGCAACAGAAAAGTGCTTGATGGGCCATGTATCTTCTAGCTAGTAAAACCAAGCCACTTAGGGAAGAAATTGCCTAGCAGGTTTACTTGTACTAACTCCATCCTTGTGGTAGAATAGCACCTGTATCCAAAGCTTTTTATTCTGAAAATGGGGTATCTTTACCTGGTTAGAGTGGTCCTACTGAGCAATAGGCCAACCTTTTTTTGGTTGCAGGTACCCGGAGCAATGCTCATATGATCTTCCTGCTGTTGATTTCTCTCGTAGGCTTATTATTCATAGAGATTTTTCCCTACAGCTTTAGAAGGCAGTGTCCCAAATAACTCTGGGTCTGGAACACAATTGCAGTTAAAGGGGAGAAAGGCTTTTAGCAGCTAGGCTGTGGAGTTACTCTCTAAACCTAAGTTACTTCTGATCCTTGCTTAGTTGCAGGGAGTTGGCTCCAAATTCACTGTACCTTCCAGCTTTGTGTCTTGGTCATTTTTTGCAAAGATGTGTAGTGGTAAGAGTGACGATGGAACAGGGCCCTGTGTATATGCAGCGGTGGGCTAGAGCAGGGCTTGTAAGACAATTTCGGCATAATAGTATGGCACACTTGAGTGCTTTCTGAATTTGTTGTGAATTTACTCCAGGTGGCTCTCTCTAGCTATCTCCAGGCTCAGTTACTGCTTCTGTTAAGGAATTAAGTCCTAAGCATTGGAAAAAGCTCCATTTTGTACAAAAGGCAGCAGCCTCTTAGCAACTCAAGATTTGTTGTGAAACACATCAAACTGATGCTTTGCAGGGTTTCCCTACTGAGTAGAGTCCAGACCACTATCTGCCCTGATCATCGAAGTCTTCAGTGCAGTTGGCCCTAGCACCCTGATGGCTGTATTCCACCGTAACTATGAAACCTCTGACCAGTGCAGAGGAGGCTTATGAGTGCTGGAGCTAGAACTAGACTGTAACCTGGACCGAGACCACAGGCCTCACCCTACTCAGAACTCAGCTCTTCCACTTAATACTCCCATTATCTTTTTCTCAAAAAAAAAAAAAAAGGGGGGGGGGAGGGCACGAAACTACTTGAGTTATTTCTCCTACAGCCTGAAAATAATAAGGGGAGTGATGCACTTCCTGTTTTTTAAATACATGAGGAGCTCACAGGTGGTATGGTGATTAGGAGAATAGATCTATCAAGGTAGGTGTTGCACCAGTCATTGTCACTGTTCCTTGCTATATCCCCCAGCATATCCATTAGTGGAATCCAACTAAAGCAAGTTGGCAGTTTTACCTGTCTCAGCAGCAACATCTCCAATGATGGATCTCTTGACAAAGAGATCACAAAAAGAATACAGAAAGCTTCTCAGTCATTAGGAAAGCTACGTAGCAAAGTCCTGAAATCCCACAACATAACCCTCTCAACAAAAACACATCTTTATGATGCTTTTATGTTCATATCTCTCTTCTATGGCTGTGCGACCTGGACACCATACAAATAGCATATCAAACAGCTAGAGGCCTTTCATAACTGCACTCTGCACACCATTATGGGGATCCGCTGGCAAGACCAAAATTACCAACCTGGAGGTTCTCCAACAGTCAAATGCCAGAAGCATTGAGACCATGCTGATAAAAACCCAAGTACGCTGGGTTGAACATCGACTCCCCAGAAAAATTTTCTATGGAGAATTGGCACAAGGACATTGGAATCAAGGCTGCCCCAGAAAACACTACAGGGACAGCACCAAGAACAGCACACACTTTGGTGCAATAAAACTGGATGATCTTGAGAAGGCTGGGTTAAATAGATCAGCCTGGCAACACACAGCACTCAGAGCTTTCCAAGCCTTCGAAGAGGACAGAAATAATCGATTGTTAGCTGCAAGGGAAAGCATCATACTACGACTATAGCTATCAAGACTCTCACCAATGACTTTGTCTGCCCGATCTGCTCACGAGTATGCACATCACGCTGTGGACTTCAGATTCAGTCCAGAATCTGCAAAAAGAGAGAGCATGAAAACGTCATTGTTGAACTGATGAACTACACATCATAATCAGGTAGGTACAGTTGTAGACTCACTTGTGGTGTTTCTAACCTTTTTAAAGCG